TGGTAGGCCATAAATCAAGTTTTATCTTTATGGTTTACGACAATGATTCACAGAAAGATTTATGTTTTAAGATACACTTGGAATGCTGCCTAGAATGCTGCTGTGGCTTACTTCTACAAAGAAAGTCGGTGGATATTTGTTCTTATCGTTATCTAAAAGCCATTGATTCGATTTGCACCCGTGCTTTCCACTAATTATGCCAGATAGTGAAATACGTTTTTCCTCTCACTTTTTTCACTTACACAACACCCTTTTGCTGATTGATTGGTAAATATGGTTTGTAATTAAAATTCCATTGCTATGGCTGATAGCTTTCGGTGGCAGTTTGAAAATAGATATACTGGGTATCCATTGCAGCGATAATAAGCTTATTGAAAATAGCACAAGCGTTTCTTTCTTTTCCCGGCTATTTTTTGTGGTTGTGGTTGTCGATTATGATGGTTCCCGGTGAGCTTATCTAAAACAAAAAACAAAGCAAACTTGTGGCGTAACTCGTTTGTTTTTCTACCCTTTCTAAGGGTGCTTTCAATATGATACGATATAAACATGCTCAACGGAAAATACTAATATATTTGTTTTTAAATGTATTGTGCATCGCTTGTGGTAAGCGCATTTATAGGTCATATTACTACCCATTACTCATATTCTATCGATATTCCGACCGAACTTGGACATTTTTCCCTCGCACTCCCACTAGCTAAATAGCGGGTATCTGATAGTCGAGGAACTGGACTACAGCGTTCTCCCCTGTTTTTATGTACTTTTAGCATGAATCACGACTCGCACTTGACACATGCCCCCCACCTACCCCCTGGCACCGCCATTTCCACCACCCCATTTTGTATCTGGCAACGAATGAGAACAAAGTCGTCAGCCCCGTAAATAAAAAGAAAAACAAAAACACAAGCAGGCTACAACTTACCTTTGGCTTGTCTCGAACAGCAGTTTAAACACCTGCAATAATAAAACACAACGCAAAATGCTGAAACAACAACGGTGGCAAAGTAACATCTATAAAACACATTGACAACATCGCGTCTTGTTAAATTGTTGAGGTAATAGGCGAGCAGTCAAAGTTATCTGACAATTGTTTATGTTTTTTTTTTTGGCCTCTTTTCTTGACTCTTGCGGGTTTTGTTGAGCAAACTTGGCAATTCTTCACTGAAAGTTCAATTGCTGTTGACGTACATATATGTTTACGTGTGCTTTAATACCCTGACCTGCACAACATTTATGATACTGTCGGCTTCAGTTTCCCCACTCTTATATAATCGAACCGAATCCGCCAAAGCTGTGCGTTACGTTAAGAAACCAAAGCGCACACTCGGTAAAGTAAATAAAGATTTAGATCTGCGGTTTTTACATATATAAACAAAACAAAGTTGGAAACCAATTGTTGAAAATATGCTATTTTTGGGGTTATAAAAAACTCGTGATGCCGAAGAATACATTTCTTATAAGGAAAAATGCGCAGGGCTCTATTGCAAGTAGTGGAATACCCTAATATTCTATCGTTTCGGCACTTAAGAACCAATTAGTGCACTGCAATTGGAATAAACTGTGTATCGTGAGGTCATTTGAATTATTCCACACAGTCGAGTGCAGCATTATTTATGTGGCAGAAATGCGGACCAAAGTCCATAAAAGGCACCAACATGCTGCCTAATGATAGAATTACTCACAGTTCACCGGGTGATGTGGATGGATTGGATGGAGGTGCATTTCCTGGGGAGACTGGCCGAGAATGCAAATGGGACCGAGAGTCAGTTCTGTAATTACTTGCTCTATGGCTATCGTTGTCTGTGTGCACGACTTATAATTTAATGCGGTTCTTTATATTTATAATCCAAGCGCGGCGACCTTCACAAAAGATAACCTGTCGGAATCCCGAGATGTTGCATGTGGAACGTTGAGGTATTCAGTAGCGAGTCATTAGCAAATGTCTTGGCATAATTCTAAGTATGTAAAAATGCATGCTCAGATTGGTAAATGTACAATTTGTACACTTTGCTGTAAAGAGGTTTGTAAGGTTGCTCAGAACCTCAAGCTTTGGTTATCAAAGTTATAGCATTACGAATTTATTTCTTAAAAACTTTTTCATTCGCAAAATAAAAGTTCCGAAATAGAAAGGATCTTGCATCTATAAGGCCATGAATGTTACTTAAAAGGAACCTGCTTAAAGATGAATTGATCCCATTAGATGAATGAAGATGAATGATCCCATTAAAGATGCATTTTTTTTTAAATGTTGTGTTAAAATTATTCTTGAGTGGATGTGCGGACAGATTTAAAAAAAATTCTAGCACTCAGTGCTAATGGGATTCAACTTGTGGCGGAATCGTTCTTTCTTATATAGCTTTTATATCATACTAACATTATATGACGAGTATATACATATACAAAATTATTCGGGGTATTTTTTATATACCCAATTCAATTTAACGCAGTGCTATTACATGACGGCCTATGTTTTTATGCAAATGCATTTGCTTGTGTCAAAAGTCAGAGATTTTTCAATTATCTCTGGACTTTGCACGCTCCACTCCTTTTACTTAGCGATAAAAATGCGGAACCGACTTGAATCGCTTTCCATTGATGGATCTCCTTGGTTCATGTGCACTCGAAAACACACTATTGATAACTGACACTCTCTGCGGGGTTGTACTGGTCCGTTCCTTGCTTATCACTACAAATTGCGACTTGTTCCATACAGTCATCTGAGAAACACGAGAGATATAGTCTGCGACATCATGAGTTTCAAAGTCGTGAGTGCAGTGACCCTGAATCTTTTTCAATTTGACTTGCATTGCATTTTGTGTTTTGCACAGTAGACGGATTGATAAGCTTACTTTGAATGAGTTGGTCTACAATGTAGGCTGAATTATATTGAAATTACATTTCATTGAATTACATTTTGTATTAAAACTATTCAAGTTAGTTTATCATTTTGGCGATTTGCCTACATTTCCAACTTCTCAAATCAGACATTTTTGTGTAAGTACATGTGTAAGACATTTTAAAGTGTAGGTCCCTAATCAACAATATAATATATATTACATTATATTATATATATTTATATTATATTTATATAATAAAATATAATTATATATTATAATATAATTATTTATAAGATAATATCGAACAGAACTCATTCGTAATTAGCTTATAATTGTTAGTCTGAGTATAGGGCACTCCTAGTTCGTCGCGGACTTTCTTCTCTTCGCTTGATATATAATATCAATGCGCTTATTGTATTTTGTCATTGTTTTGTTTTCTGTTTAAACAACTGTGCAAGAAAGCGAATGGGAAGCGAGTCGCGGAATAACAAACAAAGCACGAAAAACAGAAGAAGGTTACAAAATACGTTGATTAAAATTCACAAACGAGCTGAAGGAAAGGGGCACAAAGAAAATGATTATGCTCGATTCACACAGAAAAACGTCGTAGCTGAAGGCACCGAACCCATCCCATCCCATCCTATCCCTCCCGACCTCCACTTCCGCCACAAACCCGTCAGCTGTGGTGCAGTCAAGTGCAGATGAGCATTTGGGTTGAAAGCACAACGGACTGAGTGGGTCCATCATCCCTGTATCACTGTCATCCTAATCTTTTCTTGTACTTGCTCCTCTGTTCAGGAAAAGTGATGGGCCTAAAATGCCTCTATAAGGAAAGTTTACGAATGAACGCTATATGCCCAAACCTATTTAGAACTAGAAATTCTTCGCGTTACAAAGTTTTCAATAACAAAGAATTATATGCACACCCTTGATTATTCTCTAAATAGAATAATGTTTATATTCATTCAATCCGTTCCTCTAGTCCGGCCTGGAAAAAGGCTATATGGGCGCATTGAAAAACATTTTGTTGTGTTATTTATAGGTGTACGTCATCCCCTCCATTGATTTAAAGATTCATTGTAAAGGTTTTTTCATTTACTGTAACATTTAAATTGTTTATATGTAGCTTATTGCTAAAGCAACTAACCAGCTCGAGCGTTTGCCATGCAAAGTGTTAGACTGTTAAATGTCTGGACATGTGCGAGTGTGGGGATAAGCTTAAATGGGTTTACCGAACGGAAAATTACCCGAAAAATGCAAAGCGCATAAAGAAAAAGCGGAACGTGAGTGGAAAGTGCTGCTTGCGGACTCTCAATTGGTTCAAGTGAAGTAACAATGGGGTAGGTCTTCAGTGGGCGTGAAAGTTATATCCATTAAAGCCGATTACGATCTGGAACGGCATCCATGCAGACAAACAAGCTAAGTCTAACCGATTCACTTGCAGAGCAGCATAAATGTAATGGAACTCGAAATATTCCCTTGTGCTGATTAAATACTGTGAGTTATATACCCCAGTGGGTGTGCTGATGATGAGGCAAACAAAACGGCTGCTTATAAACAAGTAAACAATTTGTATCGGGGTGCATACAATGATAATGATGGGGCGTCTACAGTCTTTATCAAAGTCCCTCCTTCAACAACCCAACTTCAGTGGCATGCCGCCTGTGACACTTGAGTTCTAAACTTTTCAGGCGGACAACTCATATAATCAAACCCTATATGGTTCTCTGATTCAGTCGGTTGTGGGCCGTATCTCCAACAAATTGCTACCGTATCTGGTTAGGAATAGATTGTATACATTTCTGGAGGCGAGCACTTGAAATGTGTCAGCGATGACACTACTTTTGGGTACTCGAAGATGGTTTCCATCTGCCAGCTGCCAAGAAATGCCAGGAATGTATACAATTATTCTATGTGCTCCAGTTTTCTTCACACTTGTATATATGAAATAATCCGATTATGCGCGGGGATTATCAGCTGGCGGACAGTTGATTCACCTTTAGACTTTGCTACTTAGCCTAGAATACGTTCTGAAAATATTGTTATTCATTCGCTTCTGTTGTTTCTTTGCAGTCAGCGAAATCGTCGTCATTGAATGGCAGCCAGCAATAATGGACTCAACGCCTAATGCGGCCCCTAATCCGAACCAGAATCGGGACTTCCTAACGCTGAAGCCCCTGCGTCCTTCCCGCGGTTCCAGCTCGAATCTGCGCGCCAGTCGCTCCCCCTCTGCCAGCCGCAGCACCGAGCAAAGTAATTATCAATTATGATTATCAATCCTCCGGACTCCTCCTCCCGAACCGCCATCCCCTCCTCGGGCTCCTTCTGGTCCATTAGTCAGTCGCATAATTGGAATGATTGGGTCGTGTTAGAGCCGGAGCTTCCTGCATCTTATCAGCGGGGACACTGCTAATCTGGGAGTCTGGATGTGGTGGGCCAGCTCGATTTCGATGGGGACTGCTGGCTATCAGTGTTCTTTTCTACTGCACTTCCGCTGTCAATTAGGTTTTATAGCAGAAGTAGTGTAAAGGAAGAATAGTAAGGAGAATGGCGATTTATATCATTCAACTAAATATTATATGATTGGGTGATATAAATAAATTTTGTTATTATACTTTGACAAATGCACTCCGAATGTAAAAAAAGTTCAAAGAAATGAATACTCTCTGAACCAACTGTTTAACTATAAATATTACACATTCAGTTTGTTAGCTTAGCAGATTTTCCTATACTAAGGTTTTCGGAGCTCCCTGTATGCTTTCCACCATGAATTTCCACCCCGGCTGTGGTTGAGCGATGACTCATCTTCCAGAATCCAAAAACCGCCCATACACCCCCAATACGCCCATTATTCGCAATGTATTCACGAGTTTGGCATCAACAAGCTTACAGACAGCCATGTATAAATCAAAAGCAAAAAGCATAGCCTTCTTTTGAGTGTCTTGGTCATTATTATCCATTTGACTGTGCCTAACATCAGTTATTTGTTTGATTGCGCACTTTACATATTTTCGTTTATATCTTTTTATATTTTCCTTGTTTAGCTTTGTAACCGTTGAATGTTAGCCTGCCTAACTAGCTACACTTGCAAATCAAGCAAACCCAATCAGAATCATTGATAAACGTAGGTATACCAATATAATAAGACTCACATTCTTTTGTAAGTAACCTGCACACCCCATGCACTTTCGCCACCACACTCACGCACTCACACACTTAATCGTTTTACTACTTATTTTGGTTCTATTCACAGCGAAACACGCGATTTAAACGCTATTAACTGCCTGCCACTGCTTCTTATAGTCCCTGACTCTTTTGTCTCTGTTCTTCTTTGTTGTCTGTCTCTTTCCACGACACAGGCTGTCCAGCTGTCAATAAAAAATGAAATAACTCTTATACTTATTCATCATCCATTCGTCAAACAAGCTAAACCATAAATCAGCTCAAAAGATCGGGTCCCTTAAAATAATAATTCGAATTAAAGAAACAAAGACTATTTATAATCAAACCGAGCATCTTTATCATCTTTAAATGCACTTTCAAATCGTGTGATAAAATTCAATTTGTATAAAAAACCGCAAATTCATCGTTAAAATAATTTATTAACAACTTTTAAGAAATTTTAGTTTAAAATAAACAAAATTGTTAGAAACTCTAAATAAAAAACCTTTGGTTCCATTACAAAACTAAAACCAACTAAAAAGAAATATATTTGAAAAGAAGCTTAACAATTCACTTGATGTCTCACCAACCTATCGAAAATGTAATAAGTAGAAGAAAATGAATATATATAAACCAAAAGAGCTAAACCTGAAGATATCTCACTACATCACCATCCCACCATACAATGATAGTTAAAAATTGAACATTTTTGTGCTGCTTGCAACGCGCCTCATAATCAACAGCATATAAACAAAAGACAAAAACGCAGATAAGACTTACAAAATAACCCAAGTCGTACCTTTCTATGCGCCACAATTCGCCAGTGTCCCGGGAGCGAGCCAGCGAGGCAGCGGCAGCCACTCAGACAGCAGCAGCCACAGCGGGAGGACCAACTGGGGGAGGAACCGCAGCAGCAACGACAACGGCTGGAGGGGCCACGTCCGGATCCGGAGCAGCCTCCGCGAACACGAACAGCAATTCCTCGGCCTCATCCAGCACAGTGGCAGCTGCACAGGCGGCTGTCTACAGCGGCGGCAACACGGTGACCGGTAGTTTGGGCAGCGCCGGGGTGGTGGCTCGTGGCTTCCGCAGCCACAGTCCCACCCACCGGCGGAGGAGTCGCGAGCGCCAACGGCGCACGCATGGCTCTGACCAGGGCGGTCTGCTGGCCTACAGCGGTCTCGTTGGCGTCAACGACATGTCGGATTTCTTGGGTCCACAGCAAGGTGGAGGAGGCGGCGGCGGCGGTGGCGGTGGAAGCGCAGGCACGGGCAGCGGTCTGGAGGATTCCCGGCTGTCCGGCAACGAGGACTACTACTCGTCCTTCGTCTCAGACGAGTTCGACAGCAGCAAGAAGGTCCATCGCCGCTGTCACGAACGCAGCTCCAGCGTGCAGGCCATCGACCGATTGAACACGAAGATCCAATGCACCAAGGAGTCCATCCGACAGGAGCAAACTGCCAGAGACGGTAAGTAGTTAATTCGCCCGGTTGCAAATGTATAACCAAGAGAAAGTAACATTCGATAATTGAAATTTGAAATAATGGTTTAATTTAGATAATGTCAACGAGTATCTGAAGTTGGCAGCCAGTGCAGACAAGCAGCAGCTGCAGCGCATCAAGGTATGTAGACCCACTTATCGTTTGACAAGAATTAAATAATTGTTATCAATGTAATACTCTTCGGCAGGCTGTCTTTGAGAAAAAGAACCAGAAGAGCGCACACAATATCTCGCAGCTGCAGAAAAAGCTGGACAACTACACAAAGCGGGCCAAGGATTTGCAGAATCACCAGTTCCAGACGAAGAGCCAGCACCGTCAGCCGCGCGAGGTGCTGCGGGACGTCGGCCAGGGTCTCCGCAACGTGGGAGGCAACATCCGCGATGGCATCACCGGCTTCTCCGGATCGGTGATGTCCAAGCCACGGGAGTTTGCGCACCTGATCAAGAACAAGTTTGGCAGCGCCGACAACATCAACCAGATGAGCGAAGCCGAGCTACAGGGCATGCAATCTGCCAATGCCGATGTTTTGGCCAGCGAGCGCCTGCAGCAAGTGCCTGGAGCCGGAACCTCGACAGGCTCAGGCGGCGGCGGGCAGAACAACAACACCGGCGGAACGGGAAGCGGCACAGGAAAATTCAACAGTGACAATGGCAGCGAATGCAGCAGCGTAACTAGCGAAAGTATACCAGGAGGGTAAGTGTAGCTCACGATTTCATCAGAGACAGGGATGTTAATTATATTTACTTAAAGGTCTGGTAAAAGCCAGTCGGGAGCCAGCCAATACCACATAGTGCTCAAGACATTGCTAACAGAGCTGGCCGAGCGAAAGGCCGAGAACGAGAAGCTCAAGGAGCGGATCGAACGACTCGAGGTACGCGCTCTTTTGGGAAGCCGGCGAAATCCTCGGGCTATTACCACTAATATTCGAACCTTCTTTTCTCTTTTCGGCAGACGGGCCAAAAGGAATTCAACAATCTGACCGCCACACTCGAAAGTGAACGTTATCGTGCCGAGGGACTCGAGGAGCAAATCAATGACTTGACGGAATTACATCAGGTTCGTAGTTCACTTGGCTGACGCTTTGGCAGTTTGCCCGACATTCGTGCTCATGCTTTGCCGCTTTTGTTTGACAGAATGAAATTGAGAATCTGAAGCAAACGATTGCCGACATGGAGGAGAAAGTACAATACCAAAGCGATGAAAGACTACGTGACGTCAACGAAGTGCTCGAGAACTGTCAAACGAGGGTAAGTTCGAACGCTTGGGGATTCCAGCCCCCAATACCCACACCCAAACAGAGTCTAAGCGAGCTCTTCCACAGATATCGAAAATGGAGCACATGTCGCAGCAACAATATGTCACCGTCGAGGGCATCGACAATTCGAATGCGCGGGCCTTGGTTGTGAAACTCATCAATGTGGTATTAACGATACTGCAAGTGGTGCTCCTGCTTGTGGCCACCGCTGCAGGCATCATAATGCCTTTTCTCAAAACGAGGTAGCTACTTCTGAATTCTGTTCCACCATGTTCCGCCCTACTAATATATTTGTTTGCTCATTTCCAGGGTTCGCGTTCTCACAACGTTTTTGTCCATTTGTTTCGTCATCTTTGTGATACGACAGTGGCCGGATGTTCAGGACATTGGATCCGGGCTGGTGCGGCATCTGAAGCAATCGCTGGTGGTGAAGTAAACTACGTGGGGTTGGTGGCCACCGTCTCATCTACCGGGTAGTTGACACGTTCTTTAGTTATCCTAAGTTCTAAAGTGCATGTTGTAAATAGCTTATCGATAACGATTATAACAATAATTTTTAACTGAAATTGTATCAATTATCAACACGAACACACCCGAGGAACTGTACAAAACATTCATACTCCTTATCACACACCTAATCATCACACAACACTCTCGCATCAAATCTAGCAAAATTGATTTAAACTATGTAATAACTTGAAAATGCTGACAAGTCTCCGTGCATTACTCAACTATATTTGAATATACATAATTTATGTATTATCTATATAAAATATTTACATTACTATAAAATAATTGAAAATAAATGAAATGAAAGTTTGTATAAATTAGTCATTTTTTTATTTCGGGGAATTTTTTTAAACCAGGGTTGCCCTGCCACTGCAACTCTGCCCCCGATGTTAATATCTGTGTAAACAAGTTGATTAAAGATCAACTTTTTAGAGCACATTTAACACTTGACCAAAAGGCATTATTTCTATTGCCAATCCAATAACTATCATTGCTACTCAGGAGTATTTATTCTAACAGCTGCAGGTATTCCCAGTTGGTACTAAAAATAAATTGTCCTCGACTACTATTAAAGTTGAATGAAATAATAATTTTCATAATTTACCTGGTAATTTACCAAATTGTAGGCATTTATCATTCGAATGCGGATGCTCAATTAATTTACGCTATGACCTTATCCTTTTAACCTAAAAATTAAATGTTTTTTGGACTGTTTTTGACGCATTTCAAAAATGTATAATCACAAAATGGGATAAACGGGTATAGTTTACTCGTTGAAATCTTGATTCTTTTGATGTTGTTTCCAAAATAATTTTGAGATTGTTCCCTCGCACCCCCACGAGTTAAGTAGTGTATCTAATCTAGCCTAGAAACTATACTCTAACGTTTACTCTTGTTCCCTTTTGGAATAAACTGATTACTTTTCCTGGGATTTCATTAAGCGCTTAAGAATGAGGCAAACACAAAATCTTAGTTTTCAAACAAATTTGGTTATATTTACTACTTTTTTGAAATATACCACAGCCAAGAACTTTTATTTTATTAAGAAAAAACGATTGATTAGTTTATGTTAATTACGTTTATTGACCGTAAATTAAATTTAGATTACACTGCCACAGCATTTTATATTTGCATCGATGCCCTAATTGATTTCGTTTTCATGTGAACAGCAATTTTTGTTGCAAATTTAAATATTTTAGGGAAAAATAATCAGAAACAAGCGCTTAAGTTTCCTACTTTTAGTGGAGCGTGGCAACGAGTTTGACTTGAAATATAATTTGATCATATTTGAAAAACCTTTGCTCTCCAAAAAAAAAAATGTGTCGACAATCTATTGCATCATTGGATTTCAGTATCATATGCTATATAGTAAACTTAAAATTAGTTAAATCGAGAATAATGTACAATATACAGGCCAGTGCCTCTTAATAATTTGATTTAATTATTTTCATTGTAAGGATTTGAAAAGCAGTTTTCAAAAACATCGAAATAAAAAGACCATCTTAACTAAAACGTAACTATGTTCGTGAATCAGTTTAATAGGTGTGCAGAGTGTTGCTTGGATATATTTTGGTTTTTTGATTGAACAACTGAATCAATAATTAATGCGAATCAGGTAAACAATTTAATCTTATATGTGGTTACTTGGTATTTTACTCTTCCATCTATTGTTTAGATTTTTGGTTGGGAGTTTGCTGCCGAGGCGGTATTTCTTATGCCAATTGGGTTAATTGTAAAATGTATATAAAATAAATCACAATTTGTATACGCATATAAATGACGCGTGTGTGTTTCGTGTCTGTGTGGGTTTTTTGTGGGTGGGTGCCCTGGAAGTGGGACAGCTCACAGTCCAACACAAGGTTCGGCTACATATTTATTAATATTAATAATAAACATTTGTTAATTGTTTAAAACAAAGAAGCTGGTAGCCACAGCACCGATCGCGAACACAAACGAAAAACTCGGAGCCGGCCTGGGCTCATGTATCCAGGATCGACGACCACCTACAACCTACAGGCTAAGGACTCGCGGCGAACTAGCTCGCCTCATATGAGAAACTGGCGATCGGATGCGCTGTGCGGCAGGGCGGCCACGCCTATGCCGCCCTGCGTGGGCGTTTGCAGGAACGCCGAATCGTCGAGTGCTGCTGAGTCAGCTGCAGGCGTGCTGATTGCTATCGGTTCGTAGATCGAGCGATGCGGTGGCATATCGTCTTCGTCCTTGAAGGAGCCGCTTAAATTCGGATTGAGAATGTTGTTCGATGCGGGCGAGGCTACAGCAATTGTCCCCGTCACCGGCAGACCCATGGCACTGGTACCGGACTCAACGCGCTCCAGATAGGGTGGCGCCGCCACACTAATAACAGCTGGCTGCCGGCGGAAGAACGAGCTAGAGAAATTAAGAAGCTCAATCAGTTAGGAACATTTAATTAGAATTTAAAACGGTCTAAATATGATTACTCGATGTTTTCATGTATTAAAAAGTTATGGTAAAACTCGACATCTAAGGACATAATTTTATATTTGAAAAGTGACTTTATTTTAAAGTGTAACTTTTAAATGCCAGATATATGGTAAATGCGAGGAAAAGACGAATTTGTTGGCAAAGGACTAGTTAATATAAAAATCGTACATATTTAGGAAACAATTATTAAGTAATTTGTAAGTATCTTACAAATTTTTCATCTTCTACCAGTGCATTTCTTACCCAAAATTGATCCTCGACCAGACCGAGCGACGACTCTCAGTTAACTGTTCGGCTAGGTGGGCCGGTAGATTCGGAGCACGATCAAAGGGATTGATGCGTTCATGTGCTCCAGAAGACGTGGCCGGACGCACAGTAGAGTCCAGCAGAGCTGTACAAGCAATTCGATTAGTTATTTAAGCAAGCAAATAATTGATTTCGGCAGCAGACGTACCGTTCTCATCATCAGAGCTCTGGGACTCTTCAAACGGATTTCGGCCAGCGTCCCCACGGCGGAAGGTCCCATGTCGCGTGGTACCGGCGACACCTGCCGCCGCAACGCTTGAGCTGCTTCCAGCTGCTGCTCCACCAGCCGAAGAAGCAGAGCTCACTTGGCCCATCTGCCTGCCATTGGACTGCTGTTGCTGCAGCAGCGGCGTTGTGTCGTCATCCGTATCCGTGACATTATCCAAAGAAGGCTGTCGACTCCGACTTGCACGCGCTTCGCCCTTCGTAAAAACCTTGCGCTTACAAATGGGACAGACGCGACGGTTTTCGGTGAGCCAGGGATCAATACAGTGCGTGTGATAGGCTGCAAATAAAACGAATTAATATAATGCCCCTGCATTAAGCGATTTATCTCTCGATGTGATATTAAAAACATTATTATCGCGGGTGTTACAGATATCTCTTTAAGCTAAATAAATAAGACCATATGATCTCTTACGATGTGAACAGGGCAGCACGCGCAGCTTATCGTCCTCGATGAAATCTTCCAGACAGATCACGCAGGTGTCGTACTTGTTGTTTGCATTGTTCTTCGTATATCGGAGCACTGGTAACTTCTTCAGCATGCTCTTTGGCAGTCGATGGCGACGCATGCGGCGCTGCTCGCGGATGCACTTGTAGATCATATAGATAACCTGTTCGGCAGACGGATATCCAGTTAGCATAGAAAACAGCGTTGAAACTCTAGATCTCTTACCATAATGATGAAGCACATACCAATCAGAATGGAGAACGGCAATATTAGCTGGGTATTGATGTTGAAGGGCAGCTCATCGTTAATTATTAGCACCACCTCGGGAGTAAAGTACGTGGCCAGCGCTTTACCGCTCGTGTGGCCTACAAATACCGAGGGTATTCTTATACTCGATACATTGTCGGCGGACATTTGCTCTGTAATTGAACATGGGCTTAGACAAATAATTTGCAGACTTTACTTCCTATGTATAATCACTAACCTAAGTCGTCGCCTTCATTATTGTACACAATCACAGCAGAATAACTCGCATTCTGGGCCACTCGTACCTTCCGTTCAAAGGTGCACTCGCCCCCACTACAAAAGATTTCAGTTAGACCGAATTAAAGCGTTTATATTTACTACATTTTGCTTACCGCGATACAAGTGCCACGAATTTGGCTGAGGGTGGGTAATTCAGGTGCGGTGGTCTCTCCAAGCTATCACAACCGTAATAAGGGCGCCTGGCGGGAACCACATACACTTTGAGACCATTTGAAGGCAGTTGGGGGCCGAATTGTGCTGGCAGAGCATTGAACTCCTCGATCAACTGCGAGTTAACATTATACAATGGGCAAAATTAATATTTGTAATATTTCAGAAGTAATAGAAAATTAAACTTGCCTGGCTGGTTGGTTTTCGGTAAACCAGCACGTGGCCATCGACCAAGGTTGCCTCATGATAGACCAGGCTTAAGCCCAGCAGGGTGAGTATGTAGCCACTCCTCTTGAACATTCTGTCGCGCAGTACCACAAGTTTGGAGACGTTTGGGCCTTCGTCTGTACTGTTATTGCTCTAGTCCGCTATGTCCAGTGCTGCAGCGATTTGTCTTCACCATCCGCACCATTCGCATGTCTCATCTGTGTGCCACCGCCCTTGATTTTGTGCGCTTTTACTTTGGGCTTAAAAAGAAATGTTATTTTAACCTATTATTTTGCGTGAAGGCAACCAATGAATATTCCTCCCCGCCTACGAGGCCATGGCAAACAAAGAGCTCAGCTAATAAGATAAACGGCTTGGGATGATTATTTTTTATTTCACGACCAACTGGGTGTATTGTTGTTTTGCTTACTCTAAAAAAATTGTGTTTCTTCAGTCATGCTGCACTTACAGCTGGCTTGTTTGTTGACACAGTCAGACAGACGGTCCGTTCTCGCGAATGCATTAATGGTTACTTCAAACAGAACAGAAAAATCAACGCATTTCGCTCCTTGGCTGCTATTGTACTCAATTTGCCATCAATTGATTTTATCGCGAGCCAATAGTCACCGAGATCGGTACAAATAGGTCTGTTTCCCAGACCAAACCAGATGAGTCATAAACACCATTCCATGCTATAACCAAAATCGCGGCCGCATGCCGTCGAACTAATCGCCGCCAGAACTTCGACGCATTGGCTGCACAGATGGGGCAGAAAACGTGGAAAGTTTTTATTCGTTAAATTATAAGTTCTGCTAATATGTTGGGACCACACAGCCGGGAGGAGGTGTGCAAATATGTCACACAATTTAGCAAAGAAAACGTCACAGGCATTAGCACATCGATAGACAAAGGGAGCAGTGCTTTAGTGAGAACGTGACTTTGTTTTTATTGGATGGGTAAACAATAAATGGGAGGCCGACATTCGGTGTTCCAATGCGAAATTTAATCAGGGGAGGCGCGTGAGTTTAATAGAATTTCGGCCTACGGATTGCACAAGTCTTTGCTTTGAGGTATGAGTAGCTAATCCTACCAGGTAAACTTATTTGTCCATGTCTTGGCATGTAATTTTACATGTAAAGTAAATGCAAAGTAATGACTACAAAATTATTTGTAACTTGCATGCTAATTTCAATTGGCAAAATGCAAATTAAGTAGCGATATTAACATTTTGTTTTGGTTACTATCTCTGCTTCATTTAAGAATTTTATACCAATTGCTGGTTGCGTTCAATGGGAAATTGTTTTAAACAATCCAGACATATGTACAGACAAATTGAATGTTTAGCGAGGAGAAATGAAATTCGCGTTAATTCGCTTTGTTTCGAGGGCCGATATCAATTTACACTTTACACATCGCACGCAGCACCCACCCACCAACACACACGCGCGCACACATACGCACACCTTGAACTTTACAAGGCACAAGTGTGGTTTCAAGGATTTCCGTTTGGGGGAGGGCATACGCACACGCATACATACATAGGCAGAGGTATTTCCTGAATGGTATAAAATGGTGGGTTACAGGTGAACAGCGCCGAAGGATAAGCGATAATACGCTCAATTGGAGGCAGCAGCCACAAGTTAATGCACTTCAATTTCGTATTTTCGCTTTTGTTGTGCTTTTTTTCAGGCGCATTTGTGTGCGTGCGTGCTAGTATGCTTGTGTGCGTTCAATTAGCACAACAACACAACAGTTCAGCAATTTTTTTCTGCTCTCAACCCTTATTCACGGACACCTGCTGGTCACTCACTTGATTAGTGCTCCTCGAGCTCTTGGCCGACCGTTTGGAGCTACCTCTGGATCGTTCCTGTATCCAATCTTATTTTTTCAGCACTCGCTCGCCTCCTCAATCGTCGCCATCGCACTGGTATTGCGTTGTACTTTGTTTTGCTCCCCTTCGCCTTCCTCGGCTTCCTTTAATTGCTGGTCGAGTTTCAACGGGGACAGCGCAGTGGCTGCGGAAAGAGCATGACAGTCGCGATAAGAACGTTTTGGGTTTGGTTCACTTTTCTAATTATCGGATATTAGAATTTACATCCCATCCGCACACACACACAGGGTTAGAGCTGGAACTAAATCGATGTATCGCTGGTGCTGGCTTCCTGGGAGCGATGTTTTCTTATATCGATTATTTCCATATTTCGAGAACTATCGAGGAAGTGTACTAACCAGAAAACTTCCATCTCTATACAAACGTAAACAACATCGAAAACATATTCAAATCGTTTTCTCAGGAACTGTTTCAGATAATTTTATGGAATTTAGAATTCATAATTCCAGGGTCTTAACCATATCAGTCCTTAAAATCGAAATATATATGAAAATGTGGCCCGGCTGTTAAAAAAAATTTTTTAATACTAAGATAAAATAAAATAATAACTAGTGTTTCTCATCTTATTACTGCGAGTTCTTGAGATTCTATTTAAGGCAGAACTAAATAACTGATCTGATGTTCACCTGTTTATTTAAATCAGTTCCTGTGCACAATACTAAGCATTGCTTTTTGGTTAACCCAATTATAATATCAGATTTTCAGTGGTGCGTTTATATTTTGTGTTGAACAATAATATATTTCAGTTACGAAACATTAAAATCACATGACTGCGGGCTACTTGATCCAGAGATACATTTTCCCCTGGATAGTGTGCTTGACGGGATTTATCTTCTTTAGAATTTTCGTCATGGTCTCGACCAAACGGTCGCTGGAGACGGGAGTCTTCTTGTTCTTAAACTTCGTGAGCAACTCGGTGGCTGTCAGGGGCTTGCGCTTGAGGTACCGACGCACCGCCTCCTCGGTGATTCCGTAGTCCCTAAAAGTAAATTAAATTGGATGATAAGGAATTCCCGTATGGATCCCACGGCTTTACTCACTCTACTTTGCCGCCCGAGAAGGAAGTGGGTAGCGATGTGCTAATCTCGTTCTTGGGCCTCTTTGCTGGCGTGCTGGTGGGACTGTTGCTTGTGTCCGAGCCGGTGAGATCGCTGGGCAAGCTGTTCATCTTGCGCTTGCTGGCATCCGTTGAGAGCGTTGGCGTGGCCGAGCGAGATTTATTGGCATTACTGCTGCTGGTTGAAGCCTTGCTACTCGCAGCGCTCTCTTTTTCCTTTTCCTTCTCCTTGTCTTTGTCCTTAGAGACGACCTTCTTCTTGGGCGGTCCGTTGCTGAGGTCGTCCTCTGAGTCTGTGCTATCAGAGCTGAAGTCTGTGGACGAGTCGCCGCTGCCATTCGACTTGCCCTTCTTGTCGTCTTTCGACGGTTTTTTCTTCTTTTTGTCCTTGGAGCCCTCGTCCTTGCCCTTCTCCTTCTTTTTCTTCTCGCCGTCGGCATCTTCCTTGTCCGACTCATCAGACTTCTTCTCGTCCTCCTCCTCTTCATCGGAGGTAAGCAGCTTGCGAAGCGCATCTTCCTCGGCCACGCCTTTCATGTCCTTGTCCACCTTTGCCTCTGGATCTGGTTCGCTAAAATAGGGAATACGGAATTAGTAGTTGTGGTCCATATTGTTTTGCCATTATCAAAAATGGAGATGTTTTATCTAAATTTTTAATCGTTTGGGGCACATACTCCTCACTGGAACTCGTGTCATAGTCCATTTCCCTTCCCTCCTCGTCGCCATCGTCCGACTCCTCGAAGGCTTCGTCATCAACATCCCGCTTTTTCTTTTTCTTGTCTGCGCCCTTCTTGCCCTTTCCCTTGGCCTTGCCATCGTCGCTGTCTTCCTGCTCCTTCTTCTTTTTATCCTCCTCGTCCTCCGAATCCGACTCATCCTCGGAATCAATCCATTCATCCATGTCAGTGATCTTGAGCTCCTTGGATTTTTTGGTGGCTGCCTTAATCAGCTTAGCCTCCTCCGGATCCTGCTCCTCTTCCTCATCGCCACGCAGACGTTTTCGCAACATGAGGGAGAAGTAGTTCATCACTTTTTTGCGCCGACCAAATTCCTGTTCGGCCTCCTCCGCCGACAGAGATTTGTAGCGCTGAATAGGCTGGAAGTTGTACCACTCGGTCAAGGGGTATGCCTCAATGGCGCCGTCTGGTGCGTGGGTGAACACATAAAAAGCGGCATTCTCGCCTACACCGCCCTCGCGGATACCTTTGAACTTCTTTCCAGTCTTGCCACCCACTTTAAGAATCCAAGGCTGCGCCTCCGGACGGTACTTCCTCGCTATAATGCCGAACTTCTTGCGGCGCGCCTCCTCGCGCTGATCCCTGTTGTACTCCGATCCGGCACCGAACTTGGGCTGGTCCTCCTCCATGCCTCGGAACTCCTTCATGTTGTTCTCACGCTCTAGTTTTACATTTCTCCACTGCGCGAAATCCACATTAAGCGTCGCGTTGAACCGCATCACATGGTGCTTCTTGGGCATCTTGGGCACGCGGATCTTAAACTCCTGCACGTTGGCGGAGGACGAGGCGGATCCTGAGGCGACGGAGGCTGCGGCGGCGGCGGCGGCAGCTGCGGACGTGGACGTGGAGCTCCCGCTGGCAGCGCTCGGCTGCATAAAATCAAGCGAAGTTCGCAAATTAGTGTTGGAGCCGGAAGCGGCAGGGAAAAGACTCACCGTCGACTTTGACGCGCTCGACATGGCTTAATGTTCCTCCACGGCTCTAAGTGGCAATCATATGATGCTTGTAACTGGATATTTTATGCTTTTCCAAACTCTTACAATTCGCGGCGCGGGCGGAAAAGTTGGATTTTCTAGTGATACCCGATAACTCAAGTGCAGTTATTTATCGGAAGGCATTGTATCGTAACTTTGGGCAGGAAAATGAAATTTCATCAAAAAGGTTTTAATAAAAAAAATTTGAAAGGGCAAATATAATAGGAGTGCATATTCAAGCCTTACAAGGTATTTATAAATTCTAAAGTTTTGCCATGTTCCATCAAAATACAGCGATAACTGCAACCGTTCACAGTCACGGTTATCGATCATCTCTTCTTCATCGATAAGCGATAACCGGCAAAGCGAATAACGATAAATTCTCAAAGCGCTGTGCAGTTTGTTTGTATTTAATTTGAGTTGGTCGCTAAAATATTAGGGAAGATGTCGCGGAACGTGACACTGTCGGATGAGCAAAGCAGGCTGAATGCGCGTCTGGAGGCGCACATGGTTTACATATGTCCGGAATGCGGCAAGGCCTTCCGCACTCAGGCTGAGTGGCGACAGCATCTGAACACGGTAAGTTGCAGTTTTTATCTAAATCATGTCTTGCTTTAATAATGGTTGCAATGTGCCTACAGAAACACGACTATCTAAAGAAGACTTACTCGGACTTCAACTTTATTCAGATCGACGAGCGCTTCCACGAGTGCCAGTTGTGCTTCAAGTGGGTGGAAAACGCCCACAAGACAATCGCGCTGTTGCAGTACCACTACTTCATGCATCTGGAACACAGTGAGACCTACCGGTGCGTGCACTGTCGTATGGCGTACACGAGGCGCCGGGCTCTGAATGTCCACCTACTGGACACGCACATGCGGGAGATCGAGAAGTACGAGAACAAGCTGCGCCAGATGAAGCGGCAGCAGACTGCGGCAGCAACGGCTGGAAATACAGAGAAGCCGACGGGCGCGAGGCCGCGAGGGCGTCCCAAAGGTTCCGTGAACAGAAAGCAAAATGATCTGCTGCAAAAGGCACTGATGGACATTGATCTGAACACAGAATTGGAAAAGTCCCCAACTCGTCCAGTTGCAGCACTAGCAGCTCCTGTAAATGCACCCAAGACCATTTCAAATGTCAGTGAGCAGAATCTAGACAGGTGTTTGAATGCCTACGAGGATATCGTGCGCAAGGAGGAGAAGGAGGATGAGGTGCCGAAGTATGACGACGAGTTGGATGCCCTTTGTAAGGAGTTTTTTGATGATGGCACCACGGCCGGCAAAGTTAAAGCTGATGAGGAGCGGTCGCAAGACGAGGCGCACCTGCAGCAAGGAAATCAGGAGGTGGTCATCATCGAGATCGATGCACTCGGCAAGGAGGAAGTGGCCCAGTTAAAGAAGGAAATGAAATCGGATCCAGTAAGTAAACCGGCTAAACGTCGGCGCCTGTCAACGACGCCCAGCCGCGACTCCGACACGGAAATGTCCACCAACGGCCTCACGAAGCTCATTTCGTACTTGTGTCCAAAGTGCGGCAAAGAGATCGCCTCGATGGACGGGTGGCGGGCACACGTATTCAAAAAGCACGACTTTGAGCACATAATCGAGAACAGTTTTAAGATCCTGGAGTCCGGCCGCAAGGCCATGTGCCTGCAGTGCCGCGAGGTGCAACCAACGACCGTGCGCTCACAACTGCAGAAGCACTGCTTCAAGCATCTGCCTTACCGGTCCTACCTCAAGTGCACACTCTGCGACCGCACTAAGACCAGCACTTCAAAGATCCTCAACCACATTCGGTACAACCACCAGGAGGAGCTGCAGCGTAAGAACAAGATGCAGCTGCTTATTAAGCCGGAGCCTATGTGGGCCAGTCCCAATAAGTCCGTTCAGGCGGCCATGGCGGATGACGACGGATCCGACGACGATCAGGGCGAGCAAGCTGTGTGCGAGCACTGTGACAGAGTGTTTCGGAGCAAATGGCGTTATGAAAGACACATTGCCGCTTGCAGGAGAGCCGGAGTAAGAAAGCCAGTCGAAGGGACCGTTGAAGCTATGTTGAACCACCTGCGAGAAGGACACATGCGAATGAACACAATCTGGAAGGCAATGCAACGTGAAAAGCCTTAGGTATAGTCTAGAAAGTTAAGTCGGTCTATAATGGAAATTATCCACATGTGTAAAATATTCGTGTTCAAATTCTCTTGTGTTAAGAAAAGGTCACAATTAAATCGTATGACTTACATGCATGCGGAACATGTATCAATCTGGATTTATGTTGTTATATGTAAATGTTATATGTGATATGCTGCAAAGGGCGCTGATGGAATAGTTACTTTAACCGCCCTTATCAAAAATATGTACTCTTTGCAAAGATTATTTTTTTTATTTGCTGTACATTATAGGCTGCATGTCAATTTGGAAGAGGATCGATGAAGACATTTCCATTCATGGGCACGAACTTTGACAATGTCTCAAGGAGCAGTAGCGGTTTTTGTTGCCGCCACATCCGAGGTACTTCATCTTAGTGCACTTCCCGGTTCTCTGGTTAAAGTACCACATTTCGTCCATGGCATTTCTGTGGCAATCCCCTCCCCCACGTCCTTCGTTCTTGCGGCCGACGCAATTTTGACCTGTGTGAATGTGAATATCAGTTATGAAGGTATAGTTACTAAATGCTACTATTAAAGGTACCTCTAGGACGTCCATTGCAGCGAACCTGGGCACAGGCGAGAGATACGTATAGGAGAACGCAAGCTAAAACCAAAAGTAACTTCATTTTCAACGGATTGGCTTTTGGAGGATCGACTTGATTTGAAAGATGTGTAGAATGGTGGGTTTATATAGGTGGGACTGCCAACAGTTTCTTCGTTCCCCAGAACGAGTAAAAAACATCTTAACAATGGAATCTATTGTTAAATATTTTGAGGCGATCAGATAATGGCATAAAAAAGGGCTTTTTAAAGACGTAAGATGTGGGATGAACCATTCAAAAAACTTGCTTTAATGAAAATGTATTTTTCCCAAAACTTTCCACTTTCAGCCCAGAACAAAGCTGCGAGATCGAAGTTTTGCTTAATCTTATTGATTTTGTATCAGAGCAAAACACTTGTGCTAAACGTAAATACAATTTTAACAAAAATTCTGTTAAAAAAAATTTACCCAATTAATTCACATTTTTTTTTTGGTTAGTCGGTTAGTTAGTATTACTTATACGGGGAATATTTTCCGATTCTTTTCAATATACATATGTATATTCTTCTTTAGGATCATCAGTCGGGTCGAATCTAATTCAGACTAAGGATACAATTTAACGTGAAAATAATGCAAATAATACAACATTTTGTATACTTTCAATATAATTTAAAACACTTTACTTTGAAGCAATTTTAATTCAATAAGGAGCACTAAGAATTGCACTTTGGGCCTTCAACGTACAGCTATCCATTTCGGAGCCCAATTGGAACTACGACCGCGTACGTGACTACCTATCGACCTTCTCATTATTCCACTGCGTCCGGAGATAGCTCTTTCCGTGGTGCTAGTAGTTGACTCGGCTTGTCCACCTTCCTGCTGCACGCGGTCATCTTCCACCTCATGATTGCTGGATATGACCACGATCTTTCGGCGACCATGAAACATCTCAGCCCGCTTCAACAGCGCCAGGAACCTGGCGAACTTCCTCTCCAGAGCAGCCTTGTCTAAAGGCGTCTCCTTGGGTTCCAGTAGCCCTTCCACATGAGCTTCTTCCCCTCCTGGCGATCCGGGACCGGATGTCGCTCCAGCTGCTGGTGCGGCAGCGGGGGCATCTCCAGCCACTGGAGTGGCTCCTGGTGCTGCTCCTGCGACTGTTGGAGTGACTGCTGTTTCGGCAGGTGGAGCTGCTCCTCCCTCGGCTGCTGGAGCGGCGGCTGGCGCTGCTGCTCCATCGGCTGCAGGTGCCGCCGCTCCTCCTTCAGCCGCCGGGGTTTCACTTCTAGGTTGTATTACTGGTGGAGCGGCCTCCTCGGTTTTGCTGTTGAGCATGACAAAGTCCCTTTTCGCAAGAGTTCTCGCTTTATTTTCGGCATTTGACGAGTTCCCTCCGCTTGTTTTAACCTTTTCGTAGACCTCGGACTCGGCACAGAGATGTGTATATTTCGGGTTCACTCCGGACTTGCAGGACTGCGCCGCCTGTTGCCCGGACTCGTAGACCGGCGATCCCTCCACCGGGGCGTGGGCGTAGTTGCATGTGAAGAACGTCTGAAACCAACCGTACCTGGACTGCTGAACGATGGCACAGCCCACAAATTCAGCGTTCTCCAACACGATCTGTACGAAGTTGTATTTCGGCGACCTATAAAAATGAACATAAATTTAAGTTTAACAGTTCACTTTTCTTAGATACTATTGGAAATTCGGAGACCGAATTGATTGAGATTTCTCTCAACCTATATCATTTGCATGCTTCGTCTAGGAGAAGGCCATCATTCACCAGAGTAAGAGAACCAGATGGGATCCACATGCAATCATTTCATTCTTGAGAGGATCGAGAAGCGGACGGCCGCATATACATAAGATAAGAAGAATTTCATTACGCAGGTATAATTAAAAGTAGCTAGTGAAAACCATATTGTATTCGTAAGAAGTAAAGATCATTCAAAATATGTGAGTGAATTGAACTAGTCTAAATAAATATAATCTGCAGGCGAGTTAACATAAAAAACAAATGGATTCCGCTCTTCTTACAAGACTGTCCAAATGCATTTGTCGCACACCTGCGTCCATTATTTTGCAACCCCTAATTTTATTTTTGGGAACAAAAAAAGGTTTATAAGTTGTAATACATACGTTGTCTAACTAGAATAATTTTGTTTTTAAAAGAAATTAACATTAACATTAACATTAACAAAAATAATAAAATTATAATCTGATGTTTTGTTTTGCAAAAATCAGAACTATTAAGCTATTAAAACTATTTAAATTTGGCTAGAGCTACTTAGATCTACGAGTATTAAGAAGATTCATATGCAAAATGCTTAAAGCGAAAAAATATCTTAGATCCGAAAACCCATCCCTACATACTCTATAAGTAGAACTCACCCATTTTCTGGCTCGGTATACTTCATGATGTGCTCCACCGAAGTTCCGGCGTTCTCCCGCATCCACACCCCTATGATGTCCCTAAGGATGTCTTCCAACTCTGGGACTTTTCCCCTAATGCCTCGATACCCAATCGTCTGGCCAGCGTTTTGTGTGAAGTTCGTGTTCCGGCACTCGTCGTGTCTCAGGACACAATCCTTCACGTTGAACTCAGCTAGGTAGGCCAGTTCCGGATTCCACTTCAAGGTGCCCATCCGGCTGGCAGGACTCAGTCCGTTGAACCCTCCCTTGGCCACGCTATCCCTCAACTCATTGAAACGCCTCATTAGAAATCTTTGCACCTTTGGGCTTATTTTTATGATCTCAGCGTCCAGAGAGCAATGGTCGTGCAGTTCCTGAAAATATTTTTGGTAAAAAGATAGGTTTATAACGCTTCTTGGAAACAAAAATAATCCTGAAGTTTAAATATGCCATTTGGTAACGAAGGTTACCTTTCATGGTATATAAATACGTTCTTTTCAGAAATAGGATCAATCAATTAAAAATTAACTTTTACCACTAATAAATTTTATTGACAAGTTCTATTAATAATTTATATTCAATTCTCGAGCGGCGATTAATATAATATGTTCACTGACATACAAACACTATTTAAAAAAGTGATAAATAATTTGGCTTCCGAAGAAAGTATATATGTGAACAAAAAATGTACTAATGTAAATTATTTGGTTATTTATCACGTGGCAGGCATTTTAGCTTAGTAACTCACGGTTGTTTCATTGCAAGCCACATGTTGGAGGTCTTTGTGGCACAACGAGGGATCGCAGTAGTTCGCTGTTTCAAATGAGTTCTTTCCTGGCTCCGCTTTATTATCCGATCCTCCAGGGGCTGCATTGCCAGCTTCGGTGACGGCTGGACTTGCTGTCGTAGTGGCTTCCGTTTGAATGGCCAAGCAACTGGCGATTATTAGAAGAACAAGGGCCAACATTTTCCATCCAGAGACCGTGGCGTATTAACGTTAGTTTTTCAAAACATATATGAAACGAGTCAGACTGTGAAATCACAATTTCCAAAGATCAAATCATAGAGCAAAACCAATTTTATAAATTTAAATATTTAAGCATTTTTAAGCAAAAAAATTTAAGCTTTAAAGAGACTTTTTTACATTCTTTTTTAAATTTGGACTTCTAAAAAAAACATGGAAGTTCTAAATTAAAAAATGTTTTTGCTTTAAAATGTTCTAATTATGCACGCTTTTCTATGTACTAATATTAACGTTTGGCATTATGTCATATAAGTAAAAGTCGGGTCGTACCGAAAGTTCCCCAAAAGATTTTTTTCTTTAAAGAACTCCCCTACTTTTTATTATTGAGGCTAGAGCTGGAAGAACATCGATAGCTTTTAGAAAACGTACTCAAGCTTACATATATCGTATAGTGATAGTATTGCTGAAATATAAAATATTAGATTTCATGAAGTTGATCTCATGAAGATTTGTAATCTTCATTGATATCCATTGATATCGCAGTTGAACCAGAAACTGGGAGCGTTTATGTACTTGTTGCTATATGAAAACAGCTGTTTCTTGTTTTGATTTGAACATACGTTCATATGTACACATACAGAAATTATAGATGAGAATTAATTGGAGCAAAGCAAGAGTAAGGTGGACATAAATTCCTGAATTTATGTTATAGGCAAGGATTATATAAAAAGTGTATAGATTGTAAAGATCATGTATTTCGCACAATTGGCCGTGGTAAATAAGGCACAAGGTGTGGATATCAAGAGACGCACTCTTGGGAGAGCGAAAGTAAATAAACCGGTCGCTGATAGCATTTAAGTTGGGCTCCACTCCACTCCACCCTTCTGCATACGTGGACTGCTCTTCCGACGGCCAGTTGACTGGCAACTGCCGTTCTGCTTGCACTTGCCTCCTCCGTGGGCTGCTAATCGTGAGCCGTTGGTTTATCGCTCCTTATAGCGAGAAGTAGATTATGTACAAATATCAAAGGTTAATTCAGAGCCACAGGGGGAACAGGTGGTTGGACTGCAAAGTAACCCCCAAATAATATTTCTGTGTTTTGCAGCTCAACGTCTGAGAGAATCCTCGAGAAACCCGACGCCGAGATGAAGTTCCGCGGTAATGGAAAGCTTTTGTGGAATTTGGTAGTGCTGCTCATGGAATGCTTGTGGATCTCCGCTTTATAATCCATATCTTATTCGAATTTCAGACGAAGAACTCCTTTGCCCAGCAGTCTCCAAATGGGATCGCCAAGAAAGTGCTGCCCGCCAGCAGCTACAGCACCGCCCAGAAGACCATCCCCTTGGAGCAGCCGAATCTGCTGAAATACCACGTCCTGCCGCTGGAAGAAACGCTGAACCGCTTCATGACCACTGTGGAGCCTCTGCTGACATCGGAGGAGTTTCAACAGCAAAAGGGAATCACTTCCGAGTTCTTGAAGAAGCAGGGACGCGAACTGCAGCTGCTCCTGGAAGAAGCCGGCAGCAAGGAGAAGAATTGGTTAGCCCACCGCTGGCTGAAGGCCGCCTATTTGACCTATCGAGATCCAGTCACCGTGTTCGTGAGTCCCGGCATGACCTTCCCCAAGCAAAACTTCAGGGACTCACTCGCTTTCGTGGACTATACAGCCAGGGTTATCTATGGACTGGGCGAATTCAACGACATGGTGCACGCCAATAAAATTCCTATCGTTAAAATGGGCAAGAACGAGCTGGACAACAGCCAGTTTGGCAAAGTATTTGGCACATGTCGAATTCCCAGAAGGGGCACCGACGATATCGTATATAATCCCGAATCCGATTATGTGGTGGTGATCTACAAGAATCACTTCTACCAACTGAAGATATACAGTAAGGAGGGAAAGCTCATTGCTGCTCCATGTCTGGCTGCCCAACTGGAGAATGTCGTGTTGAAGGAAACGCAAGTGGGAATTCCCTATGGTATTCTGACAACTGACTCCAGGGACAACTGGGCTGAAGCCTACGAATATCTGGCTGAGACTCCTGACAACAGGGATGCCCTTAAAACCATTCAGGGAGCTCTGTTCACCGTCTCACTTGATGAGGGTACATCCCTTAAGCAAGGCGAAGAGGCCGACGAACTTATTCTATCGCTGATCCATGGCAGTGGCAGTAAGAGCAACAGCGGCAACCGCTGGATGGACAAAACTATTCAGCTGGTGGTGAACCCCAATGGAAACGTTGGATTCACCTATGAGCACTCGCCGGCTGAGGGCCAGCCCATTGCGATGATGATGGACTACGTGGTGCAAAAGATGTAAGTTAAGACGCACATATGGTTCGAAGCAACTGCAATTTATATGATTTCAGGAAGGAAGACCCTAGTTTCGGGGAAAGCGGCTCAAAGGACTTTACTCCCGCACAGAAAATACTCTTCTCTTCGACCAATAAAAGTCTAGAGAACTCATTGTCCGTCGCCCAGCAAAACGTGGATAAACTTGCCAATGCTCTCCAAATGAAGGTTCTAAAATTCACCGGCTTTGGAAAGGATTTCATAAAGAAGCAGCGTTTGGGTCCGGACAGCTTTGTTCAGATGGCGCTGCAGCTCGCTTTCTACAAGTAACTAGATTCTCTTACAGATTTTCAATAACACCAAATATACATTTACGTCTTACAGAATGCACTCAGAACCACCAGCGCAGTATGAGTCGGCGCACCTGCGCATATTCGATGGCGGACGAACCGAAACCATACGCTCTTGCTCGAACGAATCATTGGCCTTCTCCCGCGCTATGCAGGACTCCAATGTTACCGACAAGGAACGCGCCGCTAAGCTTCGTGAGGCAGTAGTGTCTCATCAGACGTATGCTAAGCTGGCTCTTCAGGGGAAGGGTGTTGATCGTCACCTGCTTGGACTGAAGCTGATGGCTCTGGAGCATAGCAAGCCAATTCCCGAGTTCTTCAAATCACCAGGCTTTGTCAAGTCGAATCACTTCCGCATGTCCACCTCACAGGTGGCCACTAAATACGATGCTTTCATGGGATACGGTCCGGCGACTGACGATGGTTATGCATGCTGCTATAATCCACGGGATAATGACATAATATTGGCCATATCCGCTTGGCGCCATTGTCCAATAACGGATCACTTGAAGTTCGCCGAGACCCTCGAGCAATCCTTTTTCGAAATGAAGAATGTTCTGGAGAAGAACCCGCCTGAGACTAAGTCGAAGTTGTAGAAATGTTCCAGAATAATGCAATTTATCAGAGATTAAACTTTAAATGACTTGATTAATGTACGCTCAAATGATGAAAGGGTTTGCACTGGATGGGAAAGTCAACCCGAAAACCTTTGCAACTAAATTGGCCTAATAGCCAGAACTAAGATGTTATTCACTTTACATCCTAGCTCTTAAAATCAGTCCCTTTTAAAAGTTTACACCTTGTTACTTTTTGAGACAAATGCAATATTTTTTTAAAAATTACAAATTTAAGCCATTTATCCTGTAACTTGCATGGGATATCGTTGTACAAATATTTTCACATATACGGGTTTAAGAACTGAAATTATTCTTTTTTAGTTTCTCTGAAACTAAATAATAGCTTTAATTAGTGGTCGGGCTAATTTATTTTTTACTGTTCTTTTTAAGATAGAAAACAAATCGTGCGAAATTTGTTTTCACTGTTTGCACTGTGGCTCGTCGCTCCTTGAGCTCCCGTCGTTGCTGCCGCAGCTTCGATTTGAACAACTCCTCTAGTGCCTGGACGCGATCGCACATCTCCAAGTCCGCGATGATCTGCGGCCAGTCGTCCACGGCGAAAATGTCCATTAGCGCATCGAGTCCTTCAGACAGAGCCCACAGGTCATCTTCCTGGGCACAATAAGTCAATAGGAAGAGCACTATTGCCTTAACCAGAGGCTCTGAGAGCAGAGAGCCCAGCGTGCCCAGCATGCGGTTCCAGTTAACGCGGATATTTATATCTGTGCACTTGCTAGCTCCCTCGATAATCATGTTCAGGTCATTCTCCGTCATTTGGCCAAAAAGATCCTTGCGAGACTTGAGCAAACTCAGAGAGGAACGCATTAGTGAAGTAATGGCCTCCATAACGGCTACATCTTCGTTTCCCCTAAAGGCTTGTTGACACAAAATCATCCACATGTTATAGATGTCGTGGCAGCCGCCCAAATCTTCAGCGGGCAGTACATTGCACAGGTTCTGGAGGCAAATCAAGTAGGCCACTCTTAGTTTTGCCACTTTCTCCTTGATATTGTCCTGCTGGGACACTATATTTGCCACAGCTGGTTGCAGTGGTTGAGCCTTTTGCCACAATTTCTCGATCACTTTGTTTTGTTTGATGGTCTCCAAGAAGTTGGCGGGGAGTCCTCCTGATCCACTGTCAGCTGTCTCGTCCTCCATTTCGTAATCGGCCACGCTCTCAGACTCTGACTGCTCGCTATCCGTATCCCAGTTACTCTGTTCATCGCTGGAGCCCAGGTTGGTAATAATCTCCGCCACCAGGCGCTGGGCATCTAGCAGGTACTCCAGGTTTTTGAGTGCTACTTCGGCATCGCAATGGTTTGGTTGGGACTGATTGGCACTCTGTGTTTCCGTCATCTCCTCCGTCTCCATAGAGATTTCCAGCACGGGTGCCTCGTTCTTCGACTTTACATTTTGAATTTCGGTTTTGCAGCCTTGCAGCTGGGCCTGGGGATCAATGGCTAGTAGTTTGTCCAGACTGTTCAGAATTTCCTGAGTGTGTCCGGCCGCGCAGGCGGGGACATTACACAAGATACCAGCGGCTAAGGCGTTAAGGTAAAGCTGCGCGTGGCTTTCTGTGGGAGACACAAGAAGCTCAGGTAGTACGTTACTGCTGGCCAGGACGTTCCACGAGCTGGAGTTGTTCTCAGACACCACCAGTACGAGTTGGGCAACTGAAATTGCACTTTCAAGGCCAAACTTTCTGTAGTCGAAGCCCAGCAGCAGGCTGGAAAGGAAGTTGGCCTGGTTTAGGGCTTCTGTAGCTGTGGGCGAGCTCTCGCAAAGATTTCGGAGCAGATGTATTGCTTGCTGGAAGGTGTCCGCATGCAGTTCGTTCTCGAATCCATTTTTAGTCAGATCATAGCTACGGACCAGGGTCAGCAAGGGGGTCAGTACGTCGTTATCCACGAGGAAATCGCACACCTCCGTGCCAAACACCGAGAAATTCCGAAAGGCACCTGCCGCCGCATTCCGGATGGCGCTCTCCTTATCGCACAGCAGGGGGGCCGCAATCCGGACCAACTCGCTGTCACGTATTTCGGGAACCTTCTCCTTTCGCAGTGCCAGCACAGCGAAGGAGTGCAGTCCGTTCAGCTTTTCCTCCACGTCCGCTCGCTGCAGGTGCAGGCAAATTGCCTCGATTGGTCCGACGCCCTCCGTTTCGCCCGCCGATTCTAGATCAATTTCCGCAGAAGTGTCCACGCCGGATGGCGTCCGCGTTTTCACTTTCCGGACTTTTCCCATTGCAACAAAACACAACTGCACGTGTTTACTATGGGGCTGGAACAAAAGGCGGCGGCTATTCGTGCTATCGATGTTTCCAGATATTTGGCACAATCGATAGTATCGATTCTTAAATGTTTGAAATGTTATAATATTATTTATTTTAATATTATTTTATTATTTATAATAATATTATTTATTTTAAAATATTTATTCATAAAAAATATTTAAAATGCAATATAAAATTCTTGTTAAGAAATTGATTACCCTACACTGAAAGGGATATATATTTTTATGTTTATTCGTATACAAAGTGCTACTAAATTAATCTCGAGCTGTAAGTAATTAAATAATAATCTATTATTTTGTCATAATTATATTAGTGAGTGAAATAGTGAGGTCTTTAAAGTGAGTAGTAAACATTTTCTTAATTAAAGCCTGAAGAATGTTTAACTTACTGTCGGAACACATAGTTATTGCCGCTTTTAATATTTGCTTGGGAAAAATATTTTCTTGTAGCCCTATAATTCCCAACTGGTTCTAGCGAGGACTGTAAGGCATGTCTTCTAATTTAGAGTCGCAAAATAGTTCAAGTCATCTCTCTTACCGGACGAGCAGTGAATGTAGTGTATGTGTAGTGTATGTACTGGTGTATGTATGCATGTATGCATCTATGTATGTATGTATGTATGTATGTATGTATGTATGTATGTATGTATGTATGTATGTATGTATGTATGTATGTATGTATGTATGTATGTATGTATGTATGTATGTATGTATGTATGTATGTATGTATGTATGTATGTATGTATGTATGTATGTATGTGTGTGTGTTACTTGCAAGAAGTAGTATTCGTTTAGGAAACATATTTTCTTTAAGAAATTTATTACCCTACACTGAAAGGGATATATATTTTTATGTTTATTCGTATACAAAGCAGTGATGGCAATTTAGCCTTTTTCCGGAGAGATCTATCCTGCTTTTTACTGCTTCATCCGGAAAAAATGTCAAACAGCCCTAACCCGGAAATCTGTCATTTTTTAAGTTTTTCTATCCGGAAATTGGTATGAAATTGGTATAATTCCACATTTTTTTGTTTGCAAACTATGTGGCATATCTTTTAAGCAAAATGTTATCGATATTGTGTGTAATCGTATGAATATCGAACTCACTTTGTCAAATTGCCTAAAGAAGAATACAAACAAAATAATATACAAAAGCAAACATTTTGAAATTTCTGCCAAAATGCCTAAAGAAGGGTGGAAACAAAAATGAAGCAAACGTTGAGGGCGAATGCGTCGTGGACGAAACATTTAAGATATTAAATTAAAAGTTAACTAAATAAATAATAATCATAAAAAAAATATGTCCTGTTTTTTCATCCTTTTTTGAAATTTCAGCCTATTTTTTCCGTTTTTTTTTCTCAATATCCTTTTTATTCAGAAAAATATTGGCATCACTGGTGCACATAAGTGATGAACGGTAGCATTTCAGTGATTACAGGTATTACCAGCGCATAATTAAAAATACATGTTTTAAGACATATACAATTGAAAAAGCTTATACAAATATATATTCTCATACAAACATAACTTATAAGCGCGAATTTAAAATAGATCTAAAATATTGTTATATATTTATCATATTTTTTTCCAAGTCGCTTTCGTAAGCAAAATTAAACTCATCTTACGGTTTTTAGTGTACAGTATTAGAGTAAAGCATTACACCGGTCTGGCCGATGATACACGACCTTCATGTGCTGCCACCTGGCATTTTCTATTCGATAGCTATTTATCGATTACACTGGGTTGTATTTACATCTCTAGCGGCAGAAAAGTGCAGAAAATTTTCAGAAAATTTGTAAACGGAAAGTGAAAGATTGCGTACAGTTACATCTGTGTGCCATGGATGCGAGCTTAGAGGAGAGCATGGATAGCGATCGCGCCAGTTCGCCGATCAGCAAGCCGGAGGCGACGGAATCTCCGCCAGAAGTCGGTCTCAATGGAAACGGCAGTAGTAGTGGTAGCACCAGCCAGGATACTCTAAATAATGGCGTTGCTATAGTCAAGGAAAAACCCAACGAGGCCCATTGGTGCGTAGTTATGGAAAATCCGGTGTTTAAATGCTATAGTTATTTTACCTCGACATAATTACAGGAGCAAGCCCTTTAATGCGTTTAGTGGTCGTCCCATTGGGGAGCACACAGCCCAGCAGCAGGCGCTGCTGCAGCAACAACAGCAGCAACCGCCGCTACAGCAGCATTCGCAGCCGCCGCAACAGCAGCCGCCACAGCAGCAAGCTCTTTCCGGAGCAAATGGAGTCACAGGACCCCCGGAAATCTGGGTAGAAACCAAGGCGGAGGACGGTCGCTCCTATTATTACCATGCGGTAACTAGGGAAACCACCTGGTCTCGACCTGATGGGCCCGGTGTCAAGATAATGACCCAGGCGGAGGTGGAGGAGATGGCCAAGCGACCTGCCCAGGCCGTCAAAACGGAAGCCAAGGCATCCGAGACGCCTGGCGAGATTCCGGCAGTGTCGTCACACCTCACGTCGCAACCGCCGCCGCACCTGATGAGCCAGCCTCCACCAAATGCGGCAGCACCGCTGCTTTCCCAGCCGCCACCTAGTGTGCGCCAACAGCCACCACCAATGTTTCAGCCACCTGGAATGCAGGCGCCTCCTGGGTTTGGGCAGCCGCCGTTTTGTATGCCGCCTCCAACTTACGGTTTTCCTGGAGGACCGGCACCAGCTGGAGCGCCGTGGGGTGTGGGGATGCCACCTTGGCAGCAACAGCAGCACATGCAAGACAAGCCAGCCAAGTCGCTAATCATCAAGCCGGGTGTGATCGATCCGGCGGTTATAGCACGAGCAGCGGAGTGGTCAGAGCATCGTGCTCCCGATGGAAGACCGTACTATTTTCACGCTGGTCGAGGGGAGAGTGTCTGGGAGAAACCGCAGGCGCTGAGGGACATGGAGGCCGCTCGCATGGCAGCGCACTCGGGCGTGGCGCCCGCTGTGGCAACAGCTCCGACTGGCCTACCACCCCACTTGCTACCCAACCCTATGATGCATATGCCACCGGGATCAGCGCCGCCAGGATTTGATCCGCATGCAGCTTTTGCGGCTGCTGCTGCAGCAATGAAAGCGAATTCGGAAAACACAAAGGCTGCGCAGGCAGCTGCTTTGGAGAAAGAGGCTAAGAAGGCGGCGGAGGAGAAGCGAAAAAAGGAAGAAGAGCAGAAGAAGGCGGCGGTGTCAGCGAAGCAGACGGACAAGAGTCGACCAGTGACAAGTACGCCCATCGCTGGAACGCCATGGTGTGTCGTATGGACTGGAGATTCACGCGTCTTCTTCTATAATCCATCGACTAGGACTTCGGTTTGGGATCGCCCCGAGGATTTGATGAATCGTGAGGATGTTGACAAGGCGGTAAACGAGCGTCCGGAGCAACTGAAGACTCCGCAGGAGAAGTCGGCTGAATCCGATCAGAAGTCCGGCGAGGAGGCAACTCGTGAGCAGGCTCAAACCCAAGTTCCAGCCCAGCAACTGGACCAGGTGCAAAAAGTGGATGCGGATGATGATGACGACGATGAGGTTATCAAGATACGCACTGAGTCCGAGTCTAGTGTGGAAGAGGTGCCAACCAAACGAGTGCGAATGAGTAAGTTACGGCTGTTAGAGCCATAATAAGCCTAAAATAATCTTTTTTTGAAAAAAACTGAATCTAATTCACTTTTATTTTCTCTTGCACCTCTAATAACATTAGTTTCAAAGTCAAAGCGGGCAGAGGATGTCGCCCTAGAGGCTGAGCAGCGGGCGGCAAAGGAGCGGGCCCTAGTACCCTTAGAAAAGCGCGTCACCCAGTTCAAGGAAATGCTTCGAGAGAAGGACGTATCGGCCTTCAGCACTTGGGAGAAAGAGCTTCACAAGATCGTGTTCGACCCGCGGTATCTTCTTCTGACTTCGAAGGAACGCAAACAGGTATTTGAAAAGTATGTGAAGGATCGGGCCGAGGAGGAGCGTAAGGAGAAGCGGAACAAGATGCGCCAGAAGCGTGACGACTTCCGCAGCCTAATGGAAGAAGCCAGGCTGCATGGAAAGTGAGTATTGCTAATCATCATCTATATCGTTTACATTAAGTTAGGGTAGCAGGAGAGGTGCATACCGGAAGGGTATTCTCGATTCGTTGAAAAGTATGTAACAGGAAGAAGTAACCGTTTCCGACCCTAGAAAAATATATATACTTTATCCTTTATTAAATCAAAAACTAAGTAGTAGGTGGCCGACCCTATAATGTATATATATTATACATATATATAATTAGGACCAATAGCCGAGTCGATCTGACCATGTCCGTCTGTCCGTCCGTATGAACGTCGAGATCTCTGAAACGATAAAAGCTAGTAAGTTTAGTTAGACTGCATGTCACTCTAGTGCCGCCTACGATGCGCAAGTTTGTTTCAGTACGTTGCCACGCAACAAACCGCCTAAAACTGCAACGGCTACACTTTGAAAAATTGATTGTTTTAATATTTTTTTCATTTTGCTTATAAGTCTTTTAAAAAGCTATCGATTTGCCCTCTCTGATGCCCACAAACCGCACAATACTCTCACTCCCATTAGTTGAGTAACGGGTATCTGATAGTCGAGCGTAGATAATTATTCTCCTACATTGTTGTATATTCATTTGAAAGCGTTCATAAAAGATTACTACATTTTTTAGTTTTATCCGTACATTCTTCCTGAAACGTTCTCGTTAAAACTTGAATTCCCAACTTTTGCAGGTCCTCATTCTCGGAGTTCAGCCAGAGGAACGCCAAGGAAGAACGGTATCGGGCCATCGAGAAGGTCCGCGAAAGGGAGAGTCTCTTCAACGAGTATATCGTGGAGGTGCGGCGCCGCGAAAAGGAGGACAAGCAGCTGAAGAAAGAGCAGGTAGGCCTAGGGTATGCTCGAGCACCTGACCCCATCACCTTACGTATCTCGATGTTTAAACATAAATGCATATCTTTATATATATTTAATAACTTACCCGTATGCCAAACGTATTTACATAATGTGATTGATTTTCTGTTAACTTTTAAACCATA